CTTAGTTGCTCCACGGCACGTGGGGTCTTTCCAAACCAGGGCACAAACCCATGTCCCCTGCATTGGCAGGTGGATTCTTAACCACTGTGCTACCAGGGAAGCCCAGGAATATTTATCTTAATCCTGCTTTTGGTACCTCAGATTAATTCTCCTCTCTTAGGTTCATGTAGGGATTGATAGTGATTTCCCTTTAAAGCCAGAATTCCAGGCATGATGTTTTAAGTTTTATCTTGACTAGTAATCTTATCAGAGGTTGTTACCCCAGTGGCCCATTGGGCAGCTTGAATGGATACCCACCAAGTACCTAAATGTCCACATTTTCTAATGATGGATATGAAGTTGTCATCTTCACACTATTAGCATGGTTTGCTTGGAGAACCACTGTCTAGGAGTCTGGAAACTTGGATTCTGACATCCTAGTCTGATCTTATGCGTTAAGCTTTTCAAAAGCCCTTTGACTACACTGACTTATTTGAGCTTCCTTGACCCTGTGAGAATTAGTGGGGGGGGAGAACGTGGTCCCCATTTTGTAAAGGGCAGAACCTCAGATGCATACTTTGACTGGGGGCAATAAATCAAAGAGGAGTCAAGACCAGAGCCAAGTCTTGTGGCTTCAAGGTGTTCATTGTTCATGATCTCAGAACTCCGTGTCAATCTTCACCTCTGGTGAGCTGAAGCCCTTAGGTGGGCATTAGGGTGGTCTGGACCTCCCTTAGTAAGCTAGGCCAAGGGGGCTTGGCCAGAGCAGAAATGAGGCAAGACTTCCATGGGCAGCTAGGCTCTGGGTGATTCACACGGAGGGGAGATCTGAAGTCACTTTTGGGGGTGTCTTCATTGCTGGCTTTTCCAAGACCTTAAAAGCCATGGCTGCAAAGATTCTTACCTAAGGACCTGGGTCTATAACTTCCCTTTTCACCAGCCATAATCAGGTCTGAAGATGACAAACTCAGACAAGCAAAGAAGGCACACACATACCTCATGGGAAAGCAGAGCTGATTGTCACAGACGATAATTGTGGTAGGAGCCCAAATATTCTAACATGCTTTTTTTCCACCACGAGACTGAAGCAAACTGGCCATTTTATCAAAAGGGCAAGTCATGTATCTGGCTACTCAACAGACAGAAAGCTGGAAGTTCCTCCTCCAGATAAGCTATTCACGTTCACATTTTTTATTTAGTCAACTGAGTTTTGTTGATGCCCAAATATTTGGAAAAACAAAATGTGTGCAAACTGTATATTTTCTAAGGTCATATTTTTTCCCCTGGGTTTCTAGGGCTTGAATGTGTGGCCTGCTTTTATGGTTTGTCAACAAGATCACTCCATAAAATGCATTCTGATATCTCACAGCTGTGTATAATTTATTCTGTCTATCCATGCAGCACAAATAAAATTTTTATTTGCATCATCTAAAAGAAATACCAGTGTATAAATACATAAGCAAAGCTCATAAGAAACCATCTTCTGACTCCATATACTGCTGGGGGGATATTGTGCAACCATTTAAAAAGCTGAGAGATGGCTTCATTATCCATGTAGATAGATCATAAATACTGTACTCAGCAAATAGTATAGTTATTCAATTTCTTTAAAAGGTTGCACAACATTCCCCAAGTGCTGGCAGAGTCTGCCTCTCAGTTCTCCTTGGGATATTTATAAAATAAAGCCTCGTGGAGGGGGAAAAAAAATCAGCCCCGAAGGACTTCTTTTGATTAAGACGTTGGAATATGTAGGTGAAAAGGGAAATGTTCAGTGGTTGGAACATTTTGCCTTTAGGAGAGTAAGTGTCTTTCTCTGCTCCTAGGAATCTTGGAGGATAAAGGTCCAGGGGACTAAGAATGTTCTTTATATTTGGTTCATGCAGACTCAGTTTGATTATCGAATAGGAAACCCCATGAAGGTGCCCTGCCCAGCTTCCCCCAAGTCAAGGATGTGGCCTTGCTGCCTCTCCTGGTTCCCCCACTGGCAGAGGCAAGCTAGTGATGCAACCAAGAGACCTGGATTTTCATGGCACCATCTCTTTCTGCTAAGACAGGCAGCTTCTGAATGAGTCCTATTAAATGTAAAGACATTTTCTCTAGGTGTCTGAGGCCTGGGTGATAATCTTCTATGCCTTTGAGCGTTGCGGCCGGAATAACCCTGAAAACCGTCGCGTCTTCTGCGGCTGGGTGGTGGGTGATCCAGGACTCCGGTTTTAGGTTTAACAAGCCTTGGGCAATTGGATTTGCGATTAAGTACTCAATTTAACAACCTACCTGCATTGGAAACTTAGGCTAACAGAACTTCCAGGAGTAGCTTATAATCAAATTGGTTTGTTTATGTAGAGGAAATTTGAAAATGTTTGCAATCACTTTCTGAACAGTTTTACCTGACTTTTCAGAAGATTAACATGTCAGCCAGGGTAACTCTTGGCACGTGGCATGGTTTTCACTGGCTAAGGGGAAAGTTCAGACGGATCTGCCGTTTTCACCCCATAATTGTGGGTATTTCAAAGCCTTCTTAATCCAATTCAAACAACACACGAGCACTCTTTCAAGATAAGTTCAGTTAATTGCACTTAGTCCTGCTCTGCAGGAGCTGTGTAACTGGATCAGAACTCACATTGTTTCAGTAAATTCCAACATGGGAATCCCACTGAGGGTCCTGAGCAAGAGACCCGGGGCTTGGCAAAGCTTAGAGAGCGATGCCGATAAAACCAGTTGGTGTTCTTCGCGCTTCCTGTGTGTGATCTACCTCGGGCCTCCCCGCCCTTTGCCTCGTTTTATGGAAAAGGAACGCGCTTGCTGACCATCTGCTGACACGTTCTTTCCGTGGCTCTGGATGGGGCTGGAAGGTTCTCATCTTCACGTCTCATTTCCATGCTTCCCATCCAAACAAATAAAGGCCTTTCCTCCCTGTGCATCAGAAGTAGCCCCTCCCCCCACTCTACCACCACCTTGTTTTTCTCATTAAATTTTATTTTGAAATCATTTTAGATTTACAGAAGAGTTACAAGGACAGCATGGGGTGTCCCTGTAGCCCTGTTGTTTCAGGGTCCTGGTTACTCTCTGAAATGGTCTTATTCATTCAGCTGTCTCTCTCCCAATATAATAATACAGGTCATGAGGGCAGCTTGATGTGTGTCCCTCTCTTAGATACACAGGATGGAGAGAACCAAGTGTGCTGGGACGAAGCTGTATTTAAGAGATGAGGGTCTCCACAGTGTAGGCAGAGGGGGCTGGCTCCAGGTGACATGAGGGTGTCCTGGGCTGAAGCAGGAAGAATGGGCTTTTTGAATGGAAGACATCAGGTCTAGAGGGCCCATCACAAGGCGAGCACTTAATAGATAGTTGGTGAATGAGTGAGTGAGTGAATGAGTGAACGAACAGATAAGTGGGCCAACGACTGGATCAGGACCGATGGCTAGTACATGGTCGGGTTGGTAGTGATGCTGGGGTGTGTCTTACTCCAAAACACATGCTTGTAACGACTCTGCACCATCTTGGAGCACATTGAAGGGCATGAACTCAAGCCACCGGATGAAGTTCATTTATTCAAGATCTCTGTGCCATCAGTGACTGCCCCCTCTGCAGCCAGGAAAGACTTCTGATGAATTCCACGCAGACAGCCATTCTTTCCTCCATCCTGCCCTCCACTGATGTCCACAGATGTCACCACCTGGAGCCAGCCCCCTCCGCTTGCACGGCTGGAACCCTCATCTCTCCAACACAGGTTCATCCCTGAAAACTCAGCTCATCCCAGCCCTGAGACCACAAGCCCTGCTCTCCTTGCTCCCCGGGCCCATGGTCCTCTCTCTCCCTCTAGTGCCCCATGTGGCCGACGGCCCCAGCTCATCCCCTCTGCCATTGGCCATAGTCCCAACTTACGGTTCATCCTTGGTCCCTTGGCACTCAACAACTGGGAGTTTTAAATGCTTCTTGACCAGCTTGAGAATTTTCCAGAGAGGCTGTGTCAGACAGTTAATACTCAAGTAGTAATCCTTTTGTAACCTGAATATAACTGCAGACTTCCACACTGAGGATGATAAAATGGTGTGGATTTAAAAGTATTTGGGGACCTGTAAAATGTCTAGGATTAAAATTTCAATACCATTTGTGCCCAATAAATGCGAACTCTTTAGTAACTTGAAACTGTGGTATTATGACTCAGGTCTGAAAATTATGAGTCCTGGTTGAAGAAATGGGAATAACATGTGAGGAATCAGCTCCTGTCCTTTACCTTGAGGGATAGACTGTGGTCGCACCGAATAGCAGGAGGGTGACCTCATAGGGGAGCTAGCCCGGAGACATTACTGTATTTGTTAAGAAAGCAGTACACTCTCCAGAAGAGAAAAATGTTACACTTTCCATTAGGATTGTTTATGGAAATGGGGCTACACTGAACCTGGGTCAGTATATTAGCTGGTTTGACAGTACCCCAGGAAACAAGATCACATAATAGTTGATAGAACGACTTGATTTTTTTTTTCCGTGAACCAGTCTAGTCAGTCTGAACTTGACAAATTAATTTTGTCTATAGAATGACTCCCATAAGCACATAAAATTAGCCTCCGTAAGTACAGAGAGCAGAGTTGGCACTGTGTTTAACTGATTCGCTGGAACTTAAGTAAATGGATTTAGTCTTAATATAGCTAAAGCCCTGAGACTTTAAATAGAGCTGATCTGAAGCAAAGCATTAATTCATCATTTAAAAAGTCACGGCTCGTGGGTTTTTGTTGCTCGTTGAAGGACAGAATTATATACTTTGACGATGCTAATCACCCAGCACATGCCACAGGGCTTGAAGGAAAAAATTAGCTCTTGTTTTCTTTGTTACAAAATTTTTTGTGTTCGATTGACAGAGAATTAATCAGTTTTAACACTTGACTATCATTTAATAGATTATGGTGTTTCCCTGGCCTTATTCAACTTCCAAATATTTTCATTGAGTCATTGATGCCATATTTCTGATGCTAAACTCTTCCGGACTGGAATAAGCATGGGGATTTTGCTTTGTGTTGTAGGGGTGAACTTGGGAAGCAGATTTGTACCTTCCATGCAACAGGCCGGCACGAGGGACGGGAGAGGAGCTTACGAAGTGGTCAGTGCCTCTCTTTTGAATGGAGACCCGTGGAACCCAGTGACAAACGCGGACACAAAGGTCAGTTTTTTTGGTTTTGTTTTTCTTCTTGACTTCTCAGTGACTGAAGCTTAAAAATCACATTAACTGCATTCATATTCTCTTATTCAAGTTTTGTCTTTATCTATTTTAATTCCGACTTTATCCTTCCTTATAAAGTGAAATCTTCATTATTAAGAAGATAAAATACAAACTGGTTTTGATGTGACAGTTCTGATGAGTCTCTCAACACTGTTTGTGTCTGTGGAAACTTATTTTTTCAAGCACTCACCAGAGATAACATTTCCAGATATATAACTTTCAGCTCATTTTACTTGAGTGCTGGGTATTTTTCTATATTCATATCTATTTCGTTAACATTTCAGTTTTATTGATCGATTACTGGTAGAAACATTTTAATGCAACTTGTTTTTTTTTTTAATTTTATTTATTTATTTATTTATTTTTGGCTGTGTTGGTTCTTTGTTTCTGCGCGAGGGCTTTCTCTAGTTGCGGCGAGCGAGGGCCACTCTTCATCGCGGTGCGCGGGCCTCTCACTGTCGCGGCCTCTCTTGTTGCGGAGCACAAGCTCCAGACGCGCAGGCTCAGTAGTTGTGGCTCACAGGCCTAGTTGCTCCGCGGCATGTGGGATCTTCCCGGACCAGGGCTCGAACCCGTGTCCCCTGCATTGGCAGGCAGATTCTCAACCACTGCGCCACCAGGGAAGCCCCTTAATGCAACTTTTAAAAAAAAGTTTGTAATGAGTTTTTTTTTTTAAATTTATTTATTTATTTATTTATTTTTGGCTGTGTTGGGTCTTCCTTGCTGTGCGTGGGCTTTCTCTAGTTGCCGTGAGCGGGGGCTACTCTTTGTTGCAGTGCACGGGCTTCTCATTGTGGTAGCTTCTCTTGTTATGGAGCACGAGCTCTAGCCGCTGTGGGCTTCAGTAGTTGTGGCACCTGGGCTCAGTAGTTGTGGCTCATGGGCTCTGGAGCACAGGCTCAGTAGTTGTGGTGCACGGGCTTAGTTGCTCCACGGCATGTGGGATCTTCCCAGACCAGGGCTTGAGCCCGTGTCCCCTGCATTGGCAGACAGATTCTTAACCACTGTGCCACCAGGGAAGTCTCTGTAATGAGTTTTAATGCAGTTTTATGCTTTGTTTACTTTGACACATGTTTGATTTGAGTCTTCTACGATGTAAAAGAATAATATAAAATAATTGAAATATTAGTGATTAAATTTCATATTTTGATGAGTTTTGTCTGACAAATATAAGTGAGTTTCTTAAATTTCAGAATTGTTGGAACAGTTGGAAAGGGATAAAATCTATAGAAATATGAGCTCTTTGGAGAGATCATACAGATGGCTTTGTCCTTGTGTTATGTGGAACTATTTTTAGAGTATTTTTTATAATAGAAAACAGATTTTTTTAAAAGAGCAGTTGAGATTGTGAAAATGTTCTGTAGTGTTCTGGAAGGGCTGCAGTGGGCCACCTTTGTGTCCATAATGATAATATGATTTACATCATTATTTTATTTTCTAAAGAGGCTTTCAGCTGAAAGTGAGCATTCAGAAAGGTTGGGTTAAAGGATCCAAATGCCAAATCTAAACTTTTTCAGTATTTCTGCTTCATGGAGACTGTTGCAGATGGAATATACAAAGTATAAGTCAATCACGGTGACATTGATACTGTTTCCTAGAAGAAAAACTTAAGACACTAAAGAAAATTTCATCATGCTACTAATTTGCAAAACGAGAAACGATACGATAAATTCAGAAAAAGAGAGGTATACTATGTTGTAAAGAACGTATATCTTTAAAATACTGATAGGCACTAATTAATAATATAAAAATATGGAACAATCTAAAGTTACTTGTGTGGTGGAAGCCTTTATGGGAGTTTTTCCCTGGTGGTTGGGTTGCCAGATTTAGCAAATAAGAGTACAGAATGCCCCGTTCAACTTGGACTTAGGTAAACAATGAATATTTTTTGGCATAAGTCTATCCCATGCAATATTTGGGATATTGTTGTTTATCACAATCCAGATTTAACTGCCATCCTGTGTTTTATCTGGCAGCCCACCTTGGAGGGCATCAGAGCAACAAGCTGATGAAGGTTCTCAGTATGCCTTTGGAATGGACTAGTTCAGGTTGGCTCTAGTTTCTGACCTCCAGCTTCATCCTTGCTACCAGCTAGCCACCTTGCAGACATCAGGAGGCATACCAGAGGGGGAACTGGCACATCCGCCCTGGCCAAGCTCACAACCTGATGGCTGGGGGCCACCAGCACCATCTTTGTACAAAACTAGGAAAAGCCATCATTGTTTGATCGCCATCCCACCTCCTCTAGGGGTCTGCATCCAGGATTAGAACCAGGCAGGAAGTAGGCACATACCTACTGGCTAAAATAACTCCAGGTCACTGACATTATTTAAGGGAACAGCGACCTGGGTGGTTTGGGGAACAGCATCTTGTCGTAATGCCGTGGGGCTCATCTCAGCATGTGGCTGTGGAGTCAGCCTTATGGCTCTGTAATTACCATGTGTCCCTTAATTGGTGGTTAACCACTAAGACCTTGCATGAAAAGTGTGCATGTAAATGTCTGTTAACGTGCGTGTACCTGCGTGCTGTAATTCTTCACGGGGTAGCTGTGTATGTTTGTTGTGGGAATAAGGGTTCTGCCAAATGGCGTGTTTGTGTACGTCTTTCTTCATCATCAAGATAACAGTCAATGCTGTAATTTTATTTTATTTAAAAAAAATTTTTTTGGGGGGGGGGGAATTTATTGAAATCTTTCCTTTATTGTGCATCTTCAATATCTAGGACCAGTATTCTGTTTTCTCCATCCTGAATTCCCCTCAGAGTGCACAGTTGGGGGGAAGCTGCAGTGGCTGATGCCTTTCTGGCCACAACATCTTTTGTTCACTAAATGGCGGGGGACAAACTTTGCCCACAGTGCCTCATTTTGGTTATAAATCTGACCAACCTTTGGGAGGCACATCATGCCTAAGAAGGCTTATTCCTACATCGAGGAGGATTCTGTGGACAGGCCACTCAACGTGCTGATTTTCAGATTAGGCCCTGTTGACGGTCTAAAATTCTCTGGATCTCCCTTCTTACTAGTCTATTATGATCTGGGAAACGGTTTCCCTTGTTCCTTCTCCCCACATCTAGAGTTGCGCTATTACAAATATTCTACGTAGAGGTATATATATATGTTTGATGGCCTCAAGGCATTTAGTCATCACTACTTTGTTGGAGGCCTCGTTAAATATTGAGTAATGCAAGAGACAACAATCTTATAAAATAGATGGGATATAAGTAACACTACTAGTAACTCTAATTTTAAACTGCATTAACGGGGCGTATCTTCAAGTATGCGGAACATACCCACTTCATTAATATTTTTGCTGCACAACTATGCCTGCATGCAGGACCTTAGAATACAGGCTTTTAGGTTTGCATTGCTGCTTTCCTGCTCCCCAGTTTTATTCCTTGCTGCCTTCTTTCCATTCAGCCAGTCTTTGACAGTTTGACTTCATTGGTTTGAGGGAAGGCCCAGGCATCAACTTGATTCAGGCAAAAGTACTCAGAGTCTCTTTTTCTCTCTCTCTCTCATCTATGATGGAGATATATCCAAATGGGGTATTATTATGTCCTGTACAAATCAAGAGTCAAGCCATCATTGCCACCGATCACGTAGTTGAAAGAACAGAGCATGGGGAGAGACATTGACCTTGTGTGCATCGGAGAGCTTCCAGCATTTTGTTTGTTTGCTTGCCGTTGTTTTGATCTATAACATGAGTATAAGCTTATCTGCTCTTTCCTCCCTCTTAGGGTCATTGTAAGAATGAGATGAAACGATGGGTGTAAAAATACATTAACTAAAAACTACCACCCCAATGTAAGGTGATACGGAGAGTTTAAAGTTTCTTTAGGGACCAACCTCCAATTTCATGTCCTAAAAGAATTTACTCTGGGTCCAGGGAAGACACATCAAGATGGGGTTGATTGTGAGATGACCTCAGTTGAGCTTAGCCTTTGAAGGCTCCAGGCGATTTCCATTTTCCAGCTTTCTCACAGGAGAGTGAAATGATGGAAATAGTATGTGAAATGGAAAATAAAAAGGCAAAAGGATTAGAACATGAAACCAGAGCTTCCCATAGCATACTGAGGATCTTAAAGATCAAATAGCTGCTAATTAAAATGGCAGAGGTAGAGTCTGCTGCATTGATTTCCATTTGCTTTGTTTCACGGCTGAGAAAACCAAGCCCTGTTTTTCCCTCAAATAACCATCCCCCTTTCACACCTCCGCAATCAGCCTTCTTCTCGGAGGGGTCGTCTCATCCCCCCTCCCCACCTCCTCCCGCAGGTCCTCTGCAGCCCCTCTGTAGCAGCTTCCACTCCCAGCACTTCATCACCACCGCTTTTGCCAAGGTCATGGGTGGCCTCTCAACCCCTGAAGCCAGAGCACGCCTCTCACTCTTGATTTTACTTTTTTTTTTTTTTTTGCCAGTACGCAGGCCTCTCACTGTTGTGGCCTCTCCCATTGTGGAGCACAGGCTCCGGACGCGCAGGCTCAGCGGCCATGGCTCACGGGCCCAGCCGCTCCGCGGCATGTGGGATCTTCCCGGACCGGGGCACGAACCCGCGTCCCCTGCATCGGCAGGCGGACTCTCAACCACTGCGCCACCAGGGAAACCCGATTTTGCTTATCTTGACGCTGATTCACTCCCCTTTGAAACTCTCACTTCCTTTGGCTCCTGAGACCCTGTTCGCTCTTGTTTTGCTCTCGTATGTTTTTTTGTTTGTTTGATTTTTTGGTTGTTTTTTGCGGTACGCGGGCCTCTCACCGTTGTGGCCTCTCCCGTTGCGGAGCACAGGCTCCGGACGCGCAGGCTCAGCGGCCACGGCTCACGGGCCCAGCCGCTCCGCGGCATGTGGGATCTTCCCGGACCGGGGCACGAACCCGTGTCCCCTGCATCGGCAGGCGGACTCTCAACCACTGCGCCACCAGGGAAGCCCTCTCGTATGTTTTTAAT